AGCTGTGATTACAGGTGTTTGCCCCTCCTTCACTCCGTTCATGAGAAATTACTTTTTGGCTCACCTAGCATTATGATGAAGAGCCATTAAACTTTCCCCTTCCTGTTCTCCTGGAGCAGCACATCGCCGAGGCATCCTAGATTTTTACTGGTCTTTCCCCAGATCTCTCCCTTGTGTGACAGGGAAAGCTCAGAGAGCTAAGCACAAGGACAGAGTGCTTCCTCCGAATGGCCATGCTGCAGCGAAGGTGCCGTGCTGTTGGTCAACACAGGCCCACCTCAGCTTTCCCTGGGTGCCCTTTACCTTTAGTAGAGTCTGTTACATCATAAGGATATTAAACTGAGTTGCATGTAGCCCCATAGGCTACTGGTTGGACAAGCTGGAAGCACTGGCTTCTAATAGATAGGGTTTGTTACATCGTTTGGCAGCACTTAGTTATAACTTAAAGATCATCTGGTCTGCAGAATCAGTCACGGTGCTGTTAGCCTCTGATAGGAATATTGATGATTGTTCAGGACGTCAGCTCTCAATGTGGTGAGATGGAACCTCTTGACTAGACATGATCTGATTGACTGGTGAGAGGAGCTCATGACGGGGAGTGGTGGTTTGCTTTGCACAGCTTTCCTGCTGCCTTGGGGGTGAGTACTCCATCAAGAAGTTACTGTTATATTCATCATGATGACTACAACGATAAAGACTGAGGACACAGTTTCTTCTTGGGGGGTAATATGGTGTTGGCTCATTGTTTATAATGTGGAGTGAGAGAAAGTGGCTTGTTTAAAGTAGCCACTGTCATTAACAAAGTGGAGTGTTACCTGTTGGCCGCAGATGCTCCTGTGGCTGCTGGTGGCTGAACAATGCTGTGGTCCTGCCTTCTGGGCTGAAGAAAGGTGAGAAGGATACAGAGGAGGCGCAGGGCAGATCCAGGGGTGGCTTAGAGAAATCCCTGGGTCTGATGCTGAGGTTCCTGGTGACTGGGGAGCATGTCCAGGTCCCACAGGAGGTTGCCCTCATACGCTCAGATTAGATCTTTGGTTCTTTATGTTGTTTATCTGAATTCACTGCTGTATGTAAATATTTGTATCCTGGTTAGTCTTAATTGTAGATTTTAAGTCAGGGCCCACATAAAGGTAGTTAACCACTTTTCTAGAAACTGATTTTGTTAAGTGGAAACTTCTTCACCCGTGGTACACATTTGTAATCCCAGCACTCAGGAAGCTGAGGCAGGAGGAGGATCATGACTCTGAGCCAAGCCTGGGGCAACATAGTTCAAGATTAGCCTGAGCTACATTCCAAAACCCTGTCTCAGAACGGCAACCCCTCTCCCCCCACCCCCTTCTTAGCAGAAAGAGAGAGACTAAGTGGGACGCTGTCTGTCTTCCCCTGGGTTTCAACGTCAGACGCCAAAGCAAGCTTGCATCTTTGGGAGTACAAAGACAGACACAGTCTTTGAATCAAATGCCTCACATCCCTGAATTCAAATGCATGTTTCCTTTCAGGCAATGCATGAATGAATGTCCTTACCCTTCTCTGGGAGCTCTCAGAATTTGTCCCACCTATATTTGGGGGAGTTTCTCAAAATTGATCTTGCCCCATGAGACATGACACAGCCTGTCAAAACTGAAGCAGGTGATTTTCCACGTGCCCCCACCTATAGGGAAGTTTCTGGAATAACCCTTCCTGTAGGAGAGAGTTGGGTGAAAATCTCCAGTGAGGTTGATGTTGAAAGGAAAAGCTACATGTTCATTCTAAGACCTGTTATTCTTCTATCTAAGGAAACACACTACCCAGGGCCTAATGAAACAAAGTACATACTTTGAAATACAAAATTTTGTTGTTGAACTGACAATTTCAATGTGATATTTTAAGAGCAAGTATTTAAATATAGAATGCAAAAAAACCCTATCACTCCCTAACTGAGACTTAGATAAGAAACTCTGATTGCTTATCCAGAAAATCCTGCTGGCAAACTGCCAGTGATAGCAGTGTCCCTGGGAGGGGCCAGGCCTCTGTGAGATACACAGAACCATTGATAACTGCAGTTTGTAGTTTGGGGAAACCTTCTTACTAAAAACTGGAGGATGTTTTCACTGTGTCTTTGAAACTTTATTAGTCTGCATCCTGTTAAAGTACTGAGCAGGGAGTGGAGAGAGTATCGGCCCATGGAGAAGATGGGAAAGCTAAAGCTATTGTTCTTTATGTCATAAAGTGAGTCGAGGAGAGTGACGGTACGTGGTATCTATAGGAAATCATATCTGAAGCTTCAGAAGAGTGGTGGCAGTCTCCCCCTCCTCCTCCTCATCTTAATGCTTTGATCTGAAAGTTTATGCTGGGCCCACCTCTATCAAGGTCCTACGCTTCTGGTCAAGACACTTTTGCTTACTATTTTGTTCCATCCAATCATGACTTCCAGAAGTTCTGTCTGATATGCTGGAGGTGTGAGTTGTAAGCTACTGAGGACCTAGGGCAAACCAAATTCCTTCTTCTGAAGGAATGCAGAACAGTGACTCCTAACAACATCTGCCCCACTCACAGACCAGTGCCTTGCTTGGCCATCATCAGAGAGCTTCCTGAATATGTGCATGTGTAGATAACGGCTCTTCAGTGCTGTGTGCTGATCGTTGAGCATTGTCTCCAGCCCCATCTTACTTGGTTTTGTTTTGTCTTAATAAAGGTCAACAATTAAAACTCCTATAGTAGCCAAGAGGCTGAGAAAGGAAAATCTGGTGTTGAGGCTCAGTGGCCGACTGCACAAACTGCTCTTGCAAGTTCAGGTCCTATAGTACCCTTGTTGGTTGGCTCATAACTGCCTGTAACTCCAGTTTCAGGGGCTCTGATTCTGACCTTCGTGGGCATCCACACATAGTCTAAATAACCTCACACACACACACACACACATGAATATAATTAAAAATAATTAATTTACAAAACTAGGATCAACTTAATTAGTAGTTGGTTTTCTGTAACAACATGCTTTGAAGAATTCTCTGCATGTGCACATGTGTATATACCTACTTCATTTTACAGCTGTGTGTTTCTGTATGTTATGACTCTGTTCTTGTTTATCATCTGCTGCTAGGTAGGTGTGCTGTAGCTATCCTTGCTCAAGTATCTTCGAGCTCATGAATGAGTTTCTTTCTATGGGCTATATTGGTTATCAGTAGAGTCAATATTTATATTTGGAAATACTATTTTTTTTCTTTAGAAATATTCTATTTTCTTGGAAATTCTGATGGCTTTTTTTTAACAAATGGGCTTGGTGACACCTTATGCAGGGAATTTCTATGTAGTCACCATAGGCATGCCTCTTTATTAAAAACTATGGCTGAAGAGTAAGAGACCAATCTTCCAGCACAGAGACAGAAAATAGCTCTTGAGTCTTTTGCTTCTTTTCCTATACTGGCACAAGACGTGAGGTTCTACATCCTAGCCCGTTCTAGTCATTAACGAAGCACATTCACACTATAAACATTACATGACAGCCTGGCCTGGTGGCTCAGGCCTTTAATCCCAGCACTCAAGAGGCAGAGGCAAGTGGACTTTTGTGAGTTCGAGGGCAGCCTTGTCTTCAAAGAGAGTTTCAGGTCAGCCAGGGCTACACAGAGAAACCATGTCTCAAACACCCTCCATATACTACCTAGCAGTTCACACATGAGATCTCAGCCCAGCCAGCCTGGTTTACCTAGTAGCCTTGATGAACTCCAGGCCAGCAGACGACCTATCTTCTGAGACCATGTTAAACCCTGGGAAGAAGACCCACCCGTGTCCAGAGGCTCAAGGCTACTGGCATCTAAGGGAACAGCACCTCCAGAAGTGTTTTCTCATACTGCGTGTGCACAGAAGAATGAGGCCTCCACCTCACTGGTTTCCCACTCTGAACTTCTGTCTCTCCTCCTCTCTGCTTAAATCACAGCATCTTCCTGAGGCCTTGCCTGGGGTGAAGCCATGGGGGAAGCATGAGACTCTGTACAGCCACTGTTTGGTAACACCACACCGGCACGAGAAAGAAGGGGGAAGGAATAGGAGTCCACTGTGAACACCACATCCCTTCTCCAGCGTTCCCCCAAATGAGTGCTTGCACCTCTGCACACTGATGGGCCTTCTTCTTGGGGTTTAACATCCTCTCAGAAGATAGAAATAAAAAGACCATGCTTGCTTGCTTCCCAAGCTGGCCTTGAACTTGTGATCCTTCTACCTCGGGAGTGTTAGTGTAAGAAACCTGGATCGACTTTTTTTTTTTTTTTTAACATTAAAAACCAGAAGATACTGGAATCATTTAGAGCCACCAGATTAGCAGGATGTCCTCCTAAGAGCATCTAAAGGATAAAACGTAGTGAAAGGTCTAAATGGCTGTGATGGGGAAAGTGCCGGGTGGAATAACTGCCGCATGTGTGGGCAGGAAGCCTTCTGTCTCAGATGGGAAGGTTGTCAGTGCGCTGCTGTTAGTGAGACATGGAGGTGCAGACAGCATGAGAGCATGCAGGTAAGAGACGTACGCTTGTATTTACACAGAACTGGAGGACACGCAGAAACAAGTGTTGACTTCTGTGAGGATTGGGAGCCGGAAGATTTTTTATGATGTTTTAATTTTTGAATTATGAAAAATTACCTCCCAGAAATAAAATTTTAAATGAAAATTAAAACAAAATCTGGTTTTAAGCCCAAAGCGTTTGTGACTTCACTAGTTGCGCTTGAGCCTAGGATAGGATCAGGTGCAAGCATGTATATTTTGAGAGAATGACTGTAACACAGTATATGATGGTTTAGCTTCTGATTACTTTGGTGGGAAATTGGAATGTAAGGCTGTATTTAAACTGTAGTTTCTTTAACTTGTTATTTCTAGATTTTTCTGGTGCCTATGATTTACAGTAGGAATGTCTGTGTACGGTTGGAGGATACAGTTGGACAGGGACCTTGATTATGATCTCACGTCTGATTTTGTTATTTGCTGAAGTTTGAATGTTTGGAGAAAAAGTTATAGACTGGTCTTGTCTTTACAGGAGCAGAAAAATCCAGATTCGGAACATCCCACCTCACCTGCAGTGGGAGGTAAGCCTGGGCTTGCGTGCCTCCTTGATCCAGCTTCCTTTTACTTTAGGAATTAAAGGCCTTCAGACTTCCCGCCCTTCCTTTCCAGTCACAGGGTACATGAAGTGAGTTAGAGGTTCTATCTGTCCCTCCCTGGCCCAGTGCACTCTGACCCCTCACAGTTGACTCCCTCAGGTACCCGAGCACCAAATACCAGCACACCAGCCAGGAGACAACGTGTGTACCACTTGGTGATTCTCACCATGTGCTTTGATGAACAGATTTTTATCTTTTCCCATTCTGATGGTTGAGACACTAGGAAGCCTGTGGAAACAAAGTTCTTAGAGTACATTTTTGTTGTTGTTGTTGTTGTTTTGTTTTGAGTTAATTGCTGTGAATAACAGTTAAGATATATTTTCAGAGCACTAAAAGTTCTGAGATTGCTATCTTAATATAAAATACAGTAGAATTGAAGGAGTGGCCTCACTGTTAAGAACAAACTGCCCTGGCCCACAGGAAACCAAAACAGCCAAGAAGGAAGGGAGAGACATTGAGAGAGAGAGAGAGAGAGAGAGAGAGAGAGAGAGAGAGAGAGAGAGAGAGAGAGAGAGAGAGAGAGAGAAAACTGAGCCAGATAGCTGGCTCAGTAGTCAAGAGCCTGGGCTGTCTTTTCAGAGGACCCAAGTTCAATTTCCAGTGGTCATATTAGGCACCTTACAGTTACCTCTAATCCCAGATCTAGCTCTGGCCTTTGCAAACACCTGCCTTTGTGTGTGTCCTCATGTAAACACATGTACATACACACACCCCACTTTAAAGTACAAAAATAGCCAAGCACCGTGCTGTATGACTTTAACTCTAGTATTTAGGAGGCTGAGGCAGGCAGATATCTTGAATCTGAGGCTAGCCTGATCTACATAGGGATTTCTAGGTCAGCCAGAGCTACCGACAACCAGACCCTGTCTCAAAAATAAATCTTAAAAGAACAAACTTTTTTAAAAGATGTATCATTTTTTTATGTATACATATGTGTACCAGCGTGGGTCTCTGTGCAGGAGGCCAGAAGAGGTCATTTGATCCCTCAGGACTCTAGCTACAGATTGTGAGCTGCCATGTGGGTGTTAGGAAGGGACTCGGGACCTCTGCAGTAGCAGTGTGTACTCATTGCTGCCATCTCTCCATCCTCAAGAACAATTTCTTTTACTATGAAAATCTGAAGCGTACACAGTCAGTTACTTGGAAACATAAGGAGGAGAAGAGCTGGAGGGAGGCTTGTTAGCTCCTAAAGAAGTCAGAGCTTTGTCCTTTCCTCTGCTTCTCATTTTAACAGCTTGGTTCTGGTCATCATAGGACTATGGCTGTTCAGTTACCAAGACTCCAATATTGTGGTGTCACCTTAGTGAATAGACAGTCAGGAACCAGTCAGCAAAAAAGGAAAAGAAAAAAGTGCCCTGTGTCCACAGGTTCATTGAGTTTCGTTTTTATGGAGGGCCTGAGGTGCTGGCTTGATTACATTATTCCTATGCCCTAGTCTGTTTCTCTTGCAGAGGGAAACCGATGTTGCTTTTTATGACCTTCCTGTATTTTTCCAGGTGTTGGATGGACTGTTGGCTGAGTATGGGACTGTGGAGAATGTGGAACAAGGTAAGATGTGGAGACGTTAAACCCTGAGTGAGGAGATTAGCCTCCTGAACCTTGAGGATCTATCTTGTCTGCTGTTTCTCACAGGTTGGGATCGTGGGAAGAAGTAGCAAGTCTCTAGTGTATTTGTCCACCTGCCTGTCAGAGGCAGCTGTCTGTCGGTCATTCAGTCTGTATATCTGTTTAGTTGTTCAAGGAATATGATTTCAGAGTCTCTCTCTGTATAGCCCCGGTTGACCTGAACTCTATATAGACCAGGCTGGCCTCCAACTCACAGACACCCAACTGCCTCCAAATGCTGGGGCTAAAGGTGTGGCCCAGCATTCAAGCCTATTAAACCTGCTGTGCTGGACAAACAGTTGGAATGGGGCAAGCTTACTGCGTCTGAGAATGGTTGAGCTTACACTGCTACCCCTTAACTAACTCTCTAGGAGGTGAGAATACAACCTAACGTCTGTTTACTATGAGGTACTATGATGTATGACTTCCACACATAGATTCTGGGGCACTTAGGAAAATGCAGGTTCCTAGAGTTCACCACATACCTGTGGAAACTCAGAGGGAGGGGAGTGGCTCATTCCTCATGAATGAAGAATCTGAGGGTTTTGTGTGGACTCAGATCTGAGCCCCACCATCATTGGAACAGTGCTGTATATGCCAGGAAATACTTTCTTTTCTGGTAAAGCCTGAAGCACTGATGTTTTAAGGGGGGTGGCCAAAAGGCCTGAAGCTGCTGTCTTATGTAGCTCGTTAGGCATCCTAGAAAGGTGGATCTTTAGATCCTAACAACGAAAACAGCAAGGATTATTTTTACATTGGCTTTGACTGCCTCTTCAAGACCTTGATCCTGTGAGCTAAGCTTCACCCACTGAACCTCACTGACTCAGTTTCCACTTGTATAAAATGACCATAATTTCTCCCCTTTCTGTATCATCAAATGGTCCCATCATTCAATGCAAACCTGTTTATGTAGCTTGTAGACAATTGTAAGGGATCATAAAGTCTCCAGGAAAAGGACATACAGAATCCGATGTCTCACCAGTGGTCCACTCTGTCCGGGTAGTTAACATCATTGTTGGAAGCAGCAGTTATTTGGGTGTTCTCCCCTTTGCAACAGTTGAGAACCTTACTCCGTTTCTTAATGCTGCATGCTCAGAGTTGAAAGGAAAGCACTCAGAAGAAAACATGTTTTCTAAAAATTTTCACTTATCGAACGGAAGACATTCTAGTGGAGAGAGCAGGCAAGATGGCTTTACAGGTACAAACTTTAAAACAATTTTAAAAACAACATTGGTAGCTGGTCTGGATGTGGTGGCGCATGCCTGAGATCCCAGTTGGGGGAGGTAGAGATGGATTAGCAGCGAAAACCTGAAAGTCAGTTCAGGATGGTGCTACCTGAGGAGGTATTCAAGGGCACTGGGACAACACATAGCCCTTCAGTGCCCATGCACTGGAGATGGCCCAGCTGCTAATGCCTCAAGCCACAGAGCTAACTATTGAGGTGTTCTTTTGTCTCCCACTTGTGGGTGACCCAGCAGACCCAGCCAGTGGAGTCTTAGGAGCATGAATGTAATGAACCATGGAATGAGTTACTTAAATGGAGCTCAGATTGTTCTAGAATCAAAGACCATGTGACATTCAGAAGACAAACTTCTTTGAAGAACAAAGAATATTAGTAAAAAATGAGGGCAAAATTAAGAATCTGGGATCCCTGGAGGATGTCTTTTCTGGGTGTCTGAGTCTACTGCTTACTTTGTCAGTCTAGAAGGCTACAGGTAGTCAACCCCTGAGTTTGGTCTGACGCTGAGGACGGTTATGTACCACAAGACTCCGGTTTGCACTACGTGGGCATCCCTGAATAAGTATCTTTAGTGAGCAGCCAGAGTGCTCCTGGGCAGAGGCCAGGGCTGGGTTTGGTGTCGGTGGTATGTAGCTCATTGCTCAGTTATTGCTGATGACTGTGGCTGTCCTATCTGTCCTCCAGTGTCCCCCACGCCCAGGCTGCAGCTGCCTTGAAATTATAAAATGTTTTAATCCGAGAGTCTTTAACATTTGGGGGTTGCCAAATTCCTTTGAGAATCTGAGTCATATTTCTTTACCTTTTATTGATGTAGCAAGTGAGATGGTCATAGAACCACTAAAAGTTTAAGAATGAATAATTTGTGTGCATTGGTGTTTTTCCCACATGTATGTCTGTGTGAGTATGTTGAATCCCCTGGAACTGGAGTTACAAACAGTTGTGAACCGCCATGTGGGTGCTGGGAACTGAACCCAGGTCCCCTTATGCTTTTCTGGAATTATCTTTATAATTAACTTTAAATTCCCTAATGTCATATTTTGAAAAGTGGATCTGATTGTCATTTTTGTTTTTTTGTGAAAACATAATTTTCATTTAGGTGTTTTGGGTTAAAGCAGACTTTATCAGCAAAGCCCTTTGAATGAATAGAGGTTGGTGTGTGTGTGTGTGTGTGTGTGTGTGTGTGTGTGTGTGTGTGTGTTTACAGATAGGGCCTACCTGTGTAGCCCAGGCTTACTCTGCTGGATGGATGGATGGATGGATGGATGGATGGATGGATGGATGGATGGATATAGTATATATTGCATGCCACAGATATATTTTATAGATATGATTGCCTTTTAATATAGGATACGCATATATATGTGATATGCACACACACACACACACACACACACACACACACACACACACACACAAAGGATGTCTTTACTAGAAAACTCAAGCCCAGCCATTTCTGGGAGTCTGGGTTTACAGCCTTCTCTGTAGCTCTAGAAAGCTGAATATAGGAAACATTCTGTGTGTTTCGAGTTAACAATTAAAATTAATAGTAAATAGGTCTAGAAGATCAATTTGAAAACACAAGGAGCCATGACTTTTTTTTGTTCATTCTCATTGTGTCATGTTCATCCTCCCATTTTTCCCTCTGTAGTTTTAGCCTAAGATCAAATAGTGTTTACAACAAAGGTGTCTCTGCAGCACTTAGGATGACAGTGCTGGACACAGCACATTCCCAACGGGCTAATGACAGGGCAGTCCATGCCCTGTTTACTTCCTGAATATTAAAAGTGAAAATACATAAACACACAGATAATCCACACGCTCACTCAGAAGTACTTACAGAAGACATGAAGTAGAGGGCGGCGTATTATATATGCAGCTGATTACAGAGTGTTCCATGCATGTGACTTACAAATCCTACAGGTACACATGTAATAGACACAGAGGTGCACATAACTACAGTGAGGATAGTGCAGTGTTTTGCACACTTCCTCCCTTAGTTCTCCTCCTTCCTGGGCCCTGAGGATGAGAGTTACTTTTAAATGATGATCCAGTGTTTCCTTGTTTCCTAGTCAACACAGATACAGAAACTGCTGTTGTCAACGTCACCTACACAACAAGAGAAGAGGCAAAGATGTAAGTGTCTGGGTTTATCTCCTTGCAGGTCTCCTTGGGTTTGTCTTTGGTTTCCTTTGAGTGTTGCATCTGGAAACCTTGGCAGAGAAGACAGGTACCAGCTAGTCCACATCCTCTCGGACATGCGAGTACAACTCCAAGGGGTTCTTGCTGCTTTTGGTGTATCAGTACAACCCCAGGGAGGTCACAGGCTGTTGGTGATTACACAGAGATTGCCTTGAGCAGTGTTGCTCCTTGGCATCAACAAAGACCGGAATTGTGTCAGGAAGGGAGGCCAGCTTATGCTGCTGCACCTACAGGCTCTGCTGTGACACACTTTATGGGGCGCTTTTACCTGGAGCATGTTCTGTTCTCCATGAGGAATGTGCATGGCTCTCCATCCACACTCACTGGATGGAGACTAGAACAACTGTTTTCCTATGTTAAAGCGAGGACCCACCTCCCGTGACAACAGCAGGCTTAGTTATGTGGGAGTGTTACACCCACGTGTCTGGCTTGGACTCCCTACTCTCATCCATGACTCTGATGCTCCAATAATGATTAATTTTGAGTTTACTATTAATACATTGGGATTAAGTTTTTTAAGCAATAGCAAAAAAGTTTCTTTTGGTTTTTTTGTTTGTTTGTTTTTTTATCTTTTGGGCTTTTTTTTTGGGGGGAGGGGATTGCAGCCATGTGCCACCATGCCCAGCTAAGAAGGTTCTTCTGGTAGAAGGTCCTCGAAGTGCCTCGTTGGCTACGTAGCTTAGAAGTATAATGGATTTACATACTTCATGGCTGTGGAATAACCATACCTATTCCTGAGGCGATAGCCTCACTGACCTTGTAGTTTTTAGCACATGTGAAGACATATTTGTCTATTTTCATACCAACGGTCTTCAGAAGGTTGGTTAATTGATCATGAAGATGTGCTATGATTAAAAAGAAAGTAATAAGCTTGGACCCTTATCTTAGTTTTTTGGTAAGGAGAAAAGAGAAGCAAGGTGCAGAATTGTATCTCAGTCTCCTGGGTCTAAATACTGACTGCAAGAGCTTGTTTGGTTTTGTTACCTGAGACTCCAGAGGTCTTGCTCACCTCTGTGTCTTTAATCCTTGGCAAGGCACCACATGAGTGGCTTGTGAGTCAGCTGAGTCGTCAGCCTTCTGAAGAGTCTTCCCTATACTCTCTGATAAGTTTTCCTACCCTGCTGTATTTCAGAGCTATTGAGAAGCTAAGTGGGCATCAGTTTGAGGACTACTCCTTCAAGATTTCCTACATCCCCGACGAAGAGGTGAGCTCCCCCTCACCCCCTCATCGAGCCCGGGAACAAGGCCACGGGAGCTCTTCTCAGTCCAGACAGATTGATTTCCCGCTGCGGATCCTGGTCCCCACCCAGTTTGTTGGTGCCATCATCGGAAAGGAGGGCTTGACCATAAAGAACATCACTAAACAGACCCAGTCCCGGTACGTGCCTCCAGAGCTTCCTCTGCTTCCTTCTGAGGGGTCGCCTGCATCCCGTCTAAGCCATGCTCAGGTCCTTTGTTGCTCTAGTGGGAGGCTGTGGCATGTGAAACTAACTTCTGTCAGTGCACTAACAGACTCACCTCAGGCTGGGGGCTGTGGTGAGTGCTCATGCTAATGATATAACTCATCCCTGAAGGGCTCAGTTTATGAAGAGAGAGCACTGAGGACCTCCAGGAAGGACAGTCCTTCATGCTAAAAGCCTATGAGCACATCTAGTTTCACCACAACTGAGATGTGCCCTGTAGGGTCATAGGACGCTCCGGTCAGGGCTTTTTCCTCCTGCCGAGTCAACCTTGGTGTGGTCATCTAGGTTGTCTCCTATAGAAGCTGTGGGTCACGGCTCCATCAAGCAAGAAAGTATCTGGCTTTGTGTCTGATTTTTCTATTTAGGGAGACTGAACAGGAAGTAGCGATCCCTGGGCAAAATGAATTCTACAGTTGTTGATTTCTCTGTGTTCCTAAGAGTACAGCACACTGAAGATGCAGGCCTGGTGTTCAAGTTTCTATAAACCATTTCACCTCTTTGAGTATCAGTTGCTTCTGGGAAAAAGGAAGCCACATTGGTTTACCTACATCATTGTGGGAATGCAAACAATCAAATGAGCTCACACTGCAAGGCATTAAATTATCAGCAAATACTCAGCTGAGCTGGTGCGGCTTAGTCTAATCACTGAGTGAGTGCCCTGTAAACTGAAAGAGCGTGCATGGGGCATCCCCAGCTGCAGACACTGACGTAGGTAAGACCCAGTGTACACTGACGTAGGTAAGACCCTTGGAGGAATGTGGAAATAAGTTGTGGTCTAATGTTCCTTTTATTCAAAAAACCTGTCTCAAGTTTGCACCACTATAAAGTAATCTTATTTATCTCTGTTCTGATTCCAAAAGTTGTGTCTGGTGGCTTTAAAAGGCAACAGGTTTCAGTGAAGGGAAGTAAGTTCTCAGAATGCATGCCAGTTTGAGCCGTAGGCTGAAGGCTGGGTTCCTCTAACAGCCAAGCAAAAAGGGCTGCAGGCGATATGTGATTCCGACAGTTAAAAACAAGCAGGACCCAGAGAGGTCTGAGAAAGTCATCAGACTTTTAGGCCATTAGTTTTAAAACCCTGGAAGATGGCAGACAGCGACAGAAAGGAAACCGAAAGCTTAGGAAGGCGGAGAAAGGCGTGCCTCTGTCCCTCTGCAGATGCGCTCAGATTCGAAGAGCGTGCTGGAATTTGGCGCTGGAATTTGGATGCGAACATGGCTTTTAAAGGGTGTGATCTGCTGTTCCATGGTGCAGCTCCCTTCTCACTTCACCCGCCGCTTCTACAGACATGGGAAAGGCTACAAAAAAATACCTCATTAACCAAACCGGCTCTTCCTGGCTGGTCCAGCAGCACTCCTGTCAGAACAGAGTCCCGCTTGCACACTGGCTGCCTTGAGCAGCATCAGCTGCAAGTGTGCTAACGTCATTTCCTCTGTCCTCACTCTATCGGCTGGGGCTGGACTTTCTCCCATCTAGGCCCTGTCCGATACTGCTGTGTTATGGCTCCCAATTCTTTTCCTATAGGGTAGACATCCACAGGAAGGAGAACTCTGGGGCTGCAGAGAAGCCTGTCACAATCCATGCCACCCCAGAAGGGACATCTGAAGCATGCCGCATGATTCTTGAGATTATGCAGAAAGAGGCTGATGACACCAAGCTGTAAGTCTGTACGATGCCCGGACCACTCAGTGCTGTAAGATTAAGAGATGTGTTTAAAAGAGTGAGTTACTCAGTAAAGGTAGAGGGATCATGTTTGTGTTACTCGGAATTCTCTAGAAGAACAGAAGTGATAGAATGAATAGAATGTATGGGGAAGTAGATATAGTTATTAATATATATGTAATATATACATACACATATATGTGTGTGTGTATGGAGAGAGAGGGGGAGAGAAAGTGCAAGATTTTTATTTTGCTATATACCCAGTTGGGATTGCTGGATTATATGGGATTATTTTTTCATTTACTTTCGGCCAGGCCTGACTCATGGACCCACTACCATTTAGCTATTAGTGAATAGGGAATAGAAGTGGAGTTACCACTGTGTGGCTCATTTTAGTCAGAATTCATAAGCTGAGGTTGGGAAAGAACTTGAAAAATTGAATTTCTATTCATAAAAAGCGAATGCGATGAGTCTTGGGAGCTACGATAGTGTCTCTCCTAAGTGCTGGGTCCTCTCTGTCTTTTCAGGGCTGAGGAGGTTCCTCTGAAAATCTTGGCCCACAACGGCTTTGTTGGAAGACTGATTGGCAAAGAAGGCAGAAATCTGAAGAAAATTGAACATGAGACAGGGACCAAGATAACCATCTCATCGTAAGCCCCCCTCAGACTGATTCTGTGCAGGAGAGAGGGATGCTATCGTCCTATCCCTGCTTTTCTTCAGAGGGGAATACACTCAGCTGTACCATAATTACCCTGAGCATCATGGGACGAGATCCATAGTGTGGCCACGTAGCCACCAAAGCACTCACCAGCACGAGGGAGACCCTGGGTTTCGTCCCCAGCACCATGAAATTTTTAAAGTAAAAATTAGTCAGTTCTGTAATCTAGGTTCTCAAGGAAAGAAACAGCTGAACCAAAAGTTGAAGTTAGCTGCACAGTGAACTGAAGGGGGGCCTTAGTGAGACTTCTCTCAAAATACAAAGTAAGACTTGGGGCTGGGGATGGAAGGCTTTTCCTAGCATGAGTGAGGCCCTAGGTTCAAGCAACAGTACCTCCTTCCTCTGATATATACATACGTACGATCAATGTCACTCGTAAGACTTTCAGTTAGCGGGATTCTGTGCTGTTAGGAGAAATGTTGTCTTTATCTTTACTGGGACATGTTTGTGGTCTGGAATTTTATTTCCCTGTCTTTTCCCCGCTGGGCAGCTTGCAGGATTTAAGCATATATAACCCGGAGAGAACCATCACCGTGAAAGGCCCCATTGAAGCCTGTGCCAGTGCTGAGAGAGAGATCATGAGGAAGCTGCGTGAGGCCTTTGAAAACGACATGCTGGCTGTTAATGTAAGTACCGGTGCTTCTTTCCGACCTTCTGCTGATGGGGAAGTGCCTTGGGAGATGTGAAGAACTTCTGCTTCCTAGGATAACGACCTCAAGACAAGAAACCAGTCAGGCTGGGCAGTGGTGGCGCACGCCTTTAATCCCAGCACTTGGGAGGCAGAGGCAGGTGGATTTCTGAGTTCGAGAGTTCGAGGCTAGCCTGGTCTACAGAGTGAGTTCCAGGACAGAGAAACCCTGTCTCAAAAAAACCAAAAACCAAAAAAAAAAAAAAGAAAGAAACCAGTCAGTAAACTGTGATAGACACAAGTCAGCGTGAGCCTATGAAATTGTACCATCCAGACCATAAAGGGGGATGATGCTTATGACCACTGTATTAGAAAAGGAACCTGTTGGAGCTGGGCTATGCGTGTGTGCAAAGCATGTTGGTGAGCAGGACTGGGTGCTGGACCTGAGAATAAAAATAATAGGGCCAAGAAAGTGGGTTTCCCTGGTTTCTAAACTTGTATAATGTTGTCATGTCCTCTCTCTTTAAAAGCTCAAGTATATTGTTAGCCAGGCCTGGCGGCACACACCTTTAATCTCAGAACTTGAGGGACAGAAAGAAGCAGGTCGATGTCTGTTGGGGACCAGCCTAGTCTACACAATGAGTTCCAGACCAGCTGGAGCTACATAGTGAGACCCCGTTTCCATCCATCCATCCATCCATTTATTTAAATATATCCACTGAGTTGGAGGTGCTCTTTTGTGATAATGTGTGTAGCATACATAAGGCCTAGAATTCGTTATGCAGGGTTAAAAACAAATGCCACTGCAGGGCACAGAGCCCTTGTCTAGCCTGGGCTGCTTAGGGGCTAAAGCTGAGGGCTATTCGAAGCAGGCATTTCAGGCTGTCTATGGGAGGAAAGAAGGGGCTCACTTCTGACTGGCTCTCTTGCTTGCTGGCTGGCACGCTTAGTTTACCTAGTAAATGCTGTTGCCCACTTGAATGTTCGGCGTCACATTCAAGACTACACATTCTTCCTGTTACTTAATTCTCACTTGATAATTGCCTAAAAATATTTATCTGTCAGCAAACCTCAGCTCAGAAGAGTGACTATCTTTCATTTTTCACTCTAATTTTCTGAGGATGGAAAGGATCAGCCAACATCAACCTTGTTGACCTTCATTTGAATCTTCGTCTACGACTTCGTCCCCACATCTCACAGAGTGATCTGGTGCAGCCCAGCTCTCTCACAGCTGCACTTTGTACAGGGCATCAGTCCATCCCCACACCTCTCCAGTCCCACCCGATCACCCCATCCCACAGTAATTGTAGGACAGGATGGGAGGAGGGAGGGAGGGAGGGAGAGGAGAACCATCCGGTGCGGATACCATCTAGCCATCTAGTTCTTGTGGATTTTGCTGAACCTCTCTCTCCGAGGAATCTGGATGTTCTCACAGAAGGTGCAAGTGCACCCACATCACCATGTCAGAACATGGTACTAGATATCTGTGCCAAATCCATGCTCTGTGAGCGAAGTCACAAAATCACTGGGTCCTAACATACAACACAAGATCATGGTGAAGGACCCACATTTGCGGTTCTGTATGCTTACATAAAGGGGCATTTTCCAGGGTGACTTTACCCACAGAGAAACAAACAGGATACCTTAGATGATTGCTTCATGTTCAGGAAGCCATGGGTTGGTGCAGGCTGGGCACGAGCCAGCGTGGGGACATTTCTCCACCTCCAGCTCTGGTGAGCATCTTAGGTTGAGCTGTGAAGTAACAAGCTGCAGCTAAAAAGGAGCTATCGTCCAATCAGATGATGAGATTTGCCTGCGTGCCAGTGCTAGCACTAGCTCTGACTCATCCTTGGATAATTAGAAAAGACTGTTGGGTTTTTTTGGGTTTTTTTTGTTTGTTTGTTTGTTTCATTCAACAAATATTTATTGAGTACTAGCATGGCAGACATTGAATACAACTCTAAACAGCCACTGGTCTCAAGGAAGTGAGGCGGGAGTGAGGCTCTGAGCTCCGGGATTACATCTTGTATCTTTGAGGAAGTAGGAGTGTTAGAAATGTTTGTGTTGTAAGGGGGAGGACCTGGACAGGTGAGGGAGGAGCAACTGCAGAGCACAAGAGTCCAGAGTTGAGAGGGCACAGGGTATTTAGGGAGAAGGATTAGTGGAGTGAGGGCCAGGGCTTAGCAGGAAGGCAGCTGGTGATGGCATCGTTGACTGCAGTAAGGATGGCCAGAAAGCTTTGAGGAAATGCAGCGGTCGGGCTGAGGTTTGTTATCTACTCTCAGTACAAGGTAGGGAAGTCCATGTACCAGGGTGGAGCTGACTGGGAAATGCTGGCATTGTGCAGACAGGAGATGGAGGCCGGCCGCAGCAAGCCCGGCCTCCCTGGGCTTCTCTCCCTCATCTTTTTTCTTATTTCTGTTCCAGCAACAAGCCAATCTGATCCCAGGGCTGAACCTCAGTGCACTTGGCATCTTTTCAACAGGACTGTCCGTGCTTCCGCCACCAGCAGGGCCCCGTGGAGTTCCCCCCAGTCCTCCCTATCACCCCTTTGCTGTAAGTAACTCCCAAGGGCCACCGTGCTCGGCACCCCCAGGCAGCACAGCTACTCCCCTATGCTGAGGAAGGGCAAACGCTTTTGTTTGCAGTCTGTTGATGCGTGGCTGTAATTTAAATAAGAGCTTTTCTAGTGGGGAAAAATACTGAACCGAGCTTGGAAGGTGTCTCTCAGATGTGGTGTCATGCCACACAGGAAGGAGCTCCTCGCTGGTTCATTAACTCAGGGTGTGTTTTATAAAAGTGAGTTGTTAGTTCAAGCAATATTCATGAGTGTTAGTCATCTAATACAAATGTTAGGTAGGATTCCAGGGTTATCCTTGAGTAGATACACATTTCCACCTTTGTCTGTAACTCAAATATACTTTATTGAAAGGAAATTTTTAGAAAGAAGACACCACAGTGTTTGTGTCTAGACAACACACTGACTGATATTTGAGTCTTAATTCCCAGCAGAATGTGAATGGTATGTTTTACACTTGTCAGTCTTACAGACATCACTCAGGATTAGTACATACCAAATGGAGGCTGAAGACACTAAACACATGACAGCTACCCTCTTCCACCTTATTCCTCTCTAAACACGAAAACTTATTTTGTGGGCAGATTTTGTTACTCCCATGTGTAAACCATTTCAGTGGGGACAATCGGGTGAGTGGGTGAGGTCTTTGCCGATTGGTGCTGTCTGGAGTAGGCATTGCTGGTAGCTCTGTGGTGGCCCCCGTGTTCACACCCAGACACAGCACGTTCTGCCTTGCTCCCAGAAGCTCTTCTGAGGTGTTTGGGAGTACAGCATACTGTACTTAACACCTTAAACTAAAGGATGGAGCTACCAGTGAGCTGTATGTGCATCGGTAATGGAGGGGTCGTGGCAGAAGCTCCTGCGTGTGGAGGTCACATCCTTTACCTTTGCTGTGAAGTGTACTTGCCACCATTAAAAGACGCTGAAAGATATATCATTCCTGGGACAGAGGCTGCATAGGGAGCCCTGTAGAGTCTATCTGATAACTGAAAATACCGTTTAGATGATGCATGCAATTTATATATCACGACTTTATCTTAAACCCAGTTGGTGCAGGATTATTAAGCATGATCACTGAATAGTAGCTCATAGCACTGGGGAGTCTGAAGGGGAAAGATTCCAAAAGTTTTGGGCCACCCCGGGTTACATGGTTAGACCCTGTCTCAACAAATGAAATAGATAAATAAAAACTAAAGATGTGATATTTTCTTTGGGAGATTTTGGCCTTTAATGTCATGCTAAGGAAAAAGCCCCTTCTTCATCCAAGATTATAAAAATGTTTCCTTATACTAATTTTCAATTGTTGATTTTGCTGGGCGGTGTGTATACTGTATTTTACAGGGAATTTATCTTGATCTATCCTTACTATTTTTTCCTAGTGTATAGCCAGTTTCCCAAAGTCAGTTATTGAGTGATCTGTTGTTTTATCAGTCAACCCTTTGCTTTAGCTTTGATTCTTTGAGACAGCGTCTCTTGTAGCCCAGGTTGGCCTCCAGCTATCTCTGAGAATAGCTCTGAGCTGCTGTTCTCCTGCCTCCACCTCCCTTAGGGCAAGCGAGCACACAACCTTGCCCAGTCCCACCTGTCACAGCCTGTGTCTGGGCTTCATCCACTCTCCTCAGCTCTGTGTCTCCACGGAAGTCACTGCACAATCACACTTTCTGGCAGCTTCAACACAAAGCTTGCTTTTGTTATGGTTTACCTCAGAGAATGAGTTGGGAAATGGCAGCTTTTACTATTTGACAAATTGAATAAACTATAATATTTTTTCATTCCTTTTAGATATGATCAATCCTACACATAAAACACCTTGGCCTGCCAACTTTTGTTTAGAAAAACTTTGATTGTACTTTCATGTATTTGAGTTAATGAGTCCATGGGGAGTTCACTGACAGCCTTCTCCCGAGGCCCCACCTCACCTGACTGAGATTACTCCAGACATGTGCAGATCAAGGAAGCAGGCAGGGTTAAGATCTCAGGCTGCAGAGCCAGATACAGATCCAGTTTGACATTTTGCTTCTGGTTCTTGCTTCTCAGTGTTCAGTCCCCTCACCCTCTCCCCCAGTTGTCCTAAGAGAACCCTGACTTGAAAAGCTGCTGTGGATTGAGACATTTTGACAGTCTGGGCTAGAACAGTGAACCTTCCTAACCTTGGAAAACTGCCCGTCCTTGCTTTTCCTGAAGCAGCACCTACTTTCAGAAGGAGCACCTACTTTGTTTTCAGCCAGGGATGAGACTGTCATCACATCAAGGCTGTTGAGACATTTGAGTGCAATGCATAAGCCTGGCTCAGGCCTCCCATACTCGTTTCTCACTGTTCATGCCCCTGGTCTCTGGTTTCTCCTGCTTGAAGATACCTCCTAACTCGAGTGTTAGCCCACCTAGCTGTCACGTTTGCAAAAAACACTACCCCATACACACACTGATAATATATATGTATATGTATATGTATATATTTACAAACATATATATTAGACAGCCTTGGCCTTGCATCCTGCCTTCCTTAGGTCATTGATAGATTGCTGTCTGATGACCAGAGGAAACATTAATTTGAAAATCCCTTTCCATCTGGGCAGTGGTGGTGCACACCTTTAATCCCAGCACTTGGGAGGCAGGGGTAGGCAGATTTCTGAATTCGAGAGTTCAAGGCTAGCCTGGTCTACAGAGTGAGATCCAGGACAGCCAGGGCTACACAGAGAAACCCTGTCTCAAAAAAAGAAAAGAAAAAAGAAAATCCCTTTCCATTAGTTATGCTGTCAACTCCATCTTAGCATGGGGAGATGGGAAACAGAAAGGACACTGGTTAGACACCTACGTCATTATAAATAAATACTCATTTATGTTATGCCCAAGTCATAGAGACCCCAAAGACCACTGAGGAGCCAATTCCAGTGTAAAAATAAGGGTCTGTTATTACGAACTCGGGAGCAAGGACTCCCACCATCCCTGTCACAGGGAGTCAGAGCTAGAGCCCTGAGTCTAGGAGTGCAGGATATTTGTTGTACAGCAAGCTTGGGGAATTTCTATACAGGTCAGCAAGTTAATATTTTAAAAACTGCATTTCTGATGTAATCTCCAGGAACCAGACATGGGGGCAAAACCACCTGACAAACAGGATGGCCAAGCTATCTAGTCTTTGCAGGATGTCTTAAGTTACCTGCTATTGGGATGTTTACTCAACTGGACTTTGTGATTTTCTTCCTGGGATTGGAATTTAGCTCCTGGTCTCCCGAGTTTCTTCAAAAATGGAGTCGGTTGGACTTTACAATTTACTCTCATGAAAACAGCCCATACCTTTTGGCTCCCAGATGTTCTTGAAGTCAAGTCCACATCTGGACCAGGTCTACAAGGCCCTGGACTGCCCACTCTTTTCCATCTTGGTCACCACTAGCTTCAGACTTCTCTGAAGTTATTTTTTACTTTTGTCTCCCAGGTAGACCATGTGTGTCCTCGTGTCCCTCTCTTCTAGAGTTAGACCTTCCCATGGTGGTATTCAACAGCTTTGGAGTGAATGGATTACAAATCCAATCAGAGGTCTAGATAGACCCGGGGAAAGTGATCTCATTTGTAGAGCTAGGGATTCAGACCCAGGTGTAGACACCAGCCTCAGCAGGAAATGATCTCCTCGTTGCTAAATTCAGAACTGTTTCCTCTAGCAGTCCTTCAGCCCTGAATCAGGGATAAAGGGAATTTGACCTCATTATTGTTTTACAGGCTAAAGGTTAAAAGTCTCTGTCCCATAGTGGGACTGATTTTGGTAGTGTTCCTGTTAGGACTCTTGAGGCCTAGGAATACTGGCTGTGCTGTGGGTCTTGGCCTTGCATAGGTGTTAGACTCACAGTTCACAGTGATCACTTTTGCTGTGAGAGCCGAGTTGCTTCGGGCCAGAGGCAGGTGCAGGAATCCTCTCCCCTGTGCTTGTATGCCACACCTCAGACATGCACAGAGAAAGGACTGGAGTCCCTGTGCTTCCCAGAGAGTCTTCAAGAAGAAGCAGGGCCAGGAGAGCCTTTTTGCCCACATTCCTTCAAAATTTGAGGCTTCCCTGAGGCCACTGGTCGGGTAACACCCTCTTGTGAGCTGAGACACCTCTTTTGTCTCTCAGTTCAACCCAGGCATAAGTGGGGATGCCACAGGTGAGGGCCCCTCCCTAGAACCGGAGAAGCACCCAAGGTGCTCAGAGCCCTTTTCTCTCCCAGCTCAAAAAACACACAGTGGATTTTGTTACTAAGGAGTCACAAGGTGAAGCTCGATCTGGAGCTGAGTCTAGCTGGAGGAGAGTCTGACTGACTTCAGTAAGGGTCGTGCCCGTAAGAATGTGGATCAGACATGTCTCACGGGACCGCTATGAGGGTAAAGCATTTATAAACAGTTTAGATCAGTCTTTGCTGTGCCGTGGATGTTCAATTTAAAAAACAGCTACTATTTCAACTTTGATTTTCTTTTTTTTTTTGGTTTTTCAAGACAGGGTTTCTCTGTGTAGCCCTGGCTGTCCTGGAACTCACTCTGTAGACCAGACTAGCCTCGAACTCTCGAACTCAGAAATCCGCCTGCCTCTGCCTCCCAAGTGCTGGGATTAAAGGCGTGCGCCACCACCGCCCGGCTACAACTTTGATTTTCTTAATAGCTAGCTCTGCCTCATGAGTCCACATCTGCCTTCCTGCTCCACTTCTCCCTCTCCACATCTGTCCTCTCTTCCATCTGCCCTCCTCCCCACATCTGCCCCCCTCCCTCCCCACATCTACACTGCTTCCTTTCCCTTACTATATTGCTTTCAGTTTTTCTACTGAGTTTCTGTTCCTTCTGGAAATCTCTGATGCAGCTAACTGCTCTGTCTCCCTAGGATCACGTTTGCTTGTTCTGGATAACTCTTGGGTTTTATTGCAGTATTCTCTGTTGCTTGTAATACACAACTTGTCATTCCCCTATAAAATAGGAGCCACTGTCTCCACCAAAGCAGGTCAGACAGAGCAGTGAGTGTGTGTGCTGAGTTCCTAGGGGGCAAAGGTCATCTTAGAAGCCAGGTGACACCTAGCCATGAGTTCCGTGGTCTCGCGGTAAAGGGAGTTGAGCAGGGATTAGGAACACAAAGGCACGTGTTTGTAGATGAGCTAGTGGTGTTGGCTCATAGAGCACGTGCTGCGTGGACTCAGACTCCGACTCACTGACTGTGTTGTTAATGTGCAGACCCACTCCGGATACTTCTCCAGTCTGTACCCTCATCACCATTTCGGCCCATTCCCGCATCATCACGCCGTAAGTGCCCCTCATTTCTGCCTCATCCACCATTCCTCCTCCCTGCGGCTAGCTCCATGTATCCCCTGATGACCTGACCGGGCCTGTGAGTGTTCACAGTGTGAATATTCTCTGCCATGGCTCGAGGCTGCCCCGGGAATAATGCAGCTCAGAGTGTAAGCACCAAGCCACCCTGGGAGCCCTCTTGCCTCTGTGGCCTCTCAGGTGATACTAGCAGTTTGAGTTGAGCCTGGGCTATGTAGTGAGTTTCAAGCCAGCCCAAGCTGCATACAGTGTAAAATCCTTCCTTAAAGAACAAAACGACTTGAGTTATGGCTCAGTCGTTAAGAGTGCACGCTACTCTTCCAGAACACTGGAGTTCCCAGCACCCACATCAGGTGGCTCAGTCACTTGTAATTCCAGGTCTAAGGGATCCAGTATCTCTAGTTTTTGCAGGCATCTGTACACATGTGTATACACACACAAACACACACACACAGGAAAACCAGTTAGAAAATGTTAATAAACTAAAGAAAAGCTTGCAGTAGGCAGGGCCGTGGCTCAGGTGGTAAAGTACTTGCCATACAAACGTGGACCCGAGTTCAAATTCTAAGCACCCACATAAAAGCTAGATGTGCTGGGGCTCCTGCACCGAGGCACTAGTGATAGGAGATCTGGATCTCACTGGTTAGGTAATCTAACTAGGTCGTGAGCTCTAGGTTCCATAGGATGCTTCACATCATCACTAAAGTAGAGTGTTACTGAGAGAGATACTAGCATCAGCCTCTGGCCTCTAACATACATGCACACATATGAACATAGACAGGCATACACTATACCACACGTTTTTGCCAATGTTCTTTAATCAAAGTCTAGCAACCAAAGACACATCATTCCCACAGTCTCTTACGGCGTCAACCACTGGCAGCCTGGCCTAAGAGCCTCTTTCTTCAGGGGTTTCCAGGAATAGAAGGCTCCCCATGGGGCCTGGTCACAGCAGGGTGAGTCACCTTGTGAAGTGGTGTTCCTAGTTATAGGATGGGCTGGACAGCTTTCCCTCTGTCCTTGAGCCAGGTGTGTTTAATAACTTTTTACTATTTTATGTATTGTTGTATATGTGCAGGCTCATACCCACCATCAGGGGGTCAGGACAGCTTTCAGGAATTGTCTCTTTCCACCAGGGATTGAACTCAACGTCATCAAGCTTGCATGGCAAACATTTTTTTTGTCTTCAATCCACTGGACCATCACAAAATAACCCATTTTGGTTCTTGGAGGAAGACCCAAGAAGCATATATATCAAATCTGTGTCTGTAAAAGAACTCAGGGATAGACAGCTGTATGCACCCCACAAACACAGGTGCTTAGAGGCCCTTCCGGGCTCATGCATCTTGCTTAGGTTCAACATCACTCCTCAGATTCACCTGTAGAGCACCGGGCCACACACTGACATGCCATGGGCATCTTCCCAGATAGTGAGGTCTTCCCATGTTGGGAGTCTTAACGGCATTTGGCTGGGCTATGCTGAGTCAGAGTGACAGCTGTATGCGTGTTCTTTTCTAGTACCCCGAGCAGGAGACTGTGAGTCTCTTCATCCCAACTCAGGCTGTGGGTGCTATCATCGGGAAAAAGGGGGCACACATCAAACAGCTGGCTCGGTTTGCTGGTGCCTCCATCAAGGTAAGATTTGTTGCTACCTGTCCCCACAGGCTTCCTCTTGTCGGTGCTAGAGAATTCTCTCAGCACCCAGAGACGGGATCTAAAGTGTTTCCACAACCATTCCTGTCAGCCCCCATTCTTCATCTTAGTCCTTCTCCTGTTCAACCAAACAACAAAGTTAAGACACTAGTAACAACCAAAGGTGGTCCTCCAAGGGTTAGCACTGTCTCCTCTTGCCAAGAAGATGAAGAGAAGAAGGCCAAAATGAGCAGAATGAGTATCTGTGCCTAGCACTCAACACGTTGATGCTCCCTAGTTCAGGCTTCAAGGACTTACAGACTATGGAAAAGCAAAGGGAACATTCTGGAAAGTACTGATAAAGTCATAGGCAGACAAAGCTGATAGTGTCTCCTGTTAAGAGGCCAGGGCTGAGCCAAAGGCTGGAAGAGGGAAGTCTCCTTGGTTTGGAACACTGATGTATGCAGATGTGGCTGCAAGTAGCCCGTGTTCTGCCTCCCTCGGTTGTCAGGGATTGTTTGCCACAGACCTGCCTCGACTCCAGCTGTTGCTCTGACTCAGCGTAAAGCCTTGATTCTGAAAGCCCCATGAAATGCTTCCGGAAATGTTTTCTATTGTTACGGGAAAGAATTTGCTACCATGAGACAACCCAGAATTATGCCAAGTCTCATGACTTAGAAAGAGAGAGAGAGAGAGAGAAAGGGAGGGAGGGAGGGAGGGAGGGAGGGAGGGAGGGAGAGAGAGAGAGAGAGAGAGAGAGAGAGAGAGAGAGAGAGAGAGAGAATATGAATGCCTACACTTTCTCCCTAAGAGCTGGAGCTTTTCTCACAGCAAGTGTGACAGGGAAGAAAACTAAAAAGAAAATATTCTAAGTTGTGCATTATGAGGACTGTGGTGCCCCTGGGAAAGATGGCATCTTGCTGCACTCTCATGCTGTCTGTGCTTGCAGTTAGGGGTTCACATTCATACTGGGGGTTAGCAGCCCATTGTGGGCTGGGTGTGATGAGGGCATGGGGTGCTCTCTGCCTGATGGCTTGGCCAGGTAGTGCCCTGGCCTAGACAATACAGAAAGCAAGGATGGCCACAGCCTGGAGCACCCAGAAGATCTTTGTTAGTGCCCAGTATTGTAGTCTGAGATGGTAAAGAAAACTACAGTGAAACATTTTAGACCAAAGGACAGACACCTACAAAGACACAGAGACTAGGGCTCATTGAGACACCTAAGTGGTCAGCCTCAATCTTAGACAGAAATTTCATTGACCACTCAGATCCTGAGTGTCTGCTGAGGCCGACTACAATACCTTCCCCATTTGCTGATGCTTGGAGACAATGGAGCCCAGGAGATCTGACTGATCTGTCCAAGGCCACACAGAACTACTGTGACAGCCAAGATTTGCTCAGATTGTCCTGTTTCTGCTCCATTGCTGCTGCCTTTTACCATTACTCCCTACAGTAGCAACCGTACTGACCTTCAGATCATGCCCAGTTAGCACCTTTAGGGAAATGAAGAGGAGGGGAGGTCTGTCACAGCTGTGATCAGTCCCTGAGACATCGCGCCACAGAATTCTCAGCTAAGGGCTTAGTGCCAGCAGTGGCTCTTGAAGCAGACAGGGCTTCCTGCCACCTTCCTCGGGGCCAGCCTGTGAGCAGCCTGCCTCAATCTCCATAGCCTGGACGGACAAGCTTTGGCTACCGCAGAGAAATAACTGCTCAAGGTGGAGGGTGGTCCTGGAAGCTTCCTTACCTGTGTAAGGAAGTACCTGTGTCACCCATGGCTCCCATTCATCCTCATACCACAAAGTGTAAGTAATCAAGGCCAGAGAACTTCTTGGAGGTCTAGCAGAAGGGGTGCAGGTGACGATATACTGAGGATGGGTGTTCACAAGAAAGCTGGGACACAGCCCTAGACCCTGTCTTACAGCATAGATGAGGTGATTTGGAGACTGCATTGCTCACAACATGGTGGGAACACCACCTCCCTGAGCAGGTTCCTTTCTGAGTGATCCTGTAATAGACTGCCTGCCTGCCTGGAGCACGGCTACAGAAAGCCTAGTCTGACTGCAAGATGCACTGTGTGCTCACATGTAGCTCCCGGGTCACCCTTAAGTTCCTGTGCTGTTGAGCTGAGCGCTAACCTAGTCTCAAATAATCTTCCAGTCTTGGCCTCCTCAGTGGGTGGAACTACTGCCTGGAACTACCAGGTTCAGCCCAATTCTGTTGTCAACTTCCCTCTCTCTTTCTGTAAAGACTTTTTTAAGTCAGAGTGTGCTAGGAGGAAAATGTAACAAGATCCTGACACGGGCTTGGCCTCTATGTTCTTCCCTAGCTGCAGAGGGATCCACAATCCTTTCTTGACTGTAACCATGTGGCTGAAGCTGCCAAGTTCTCGTGCTTACTGAAACTGACACATGGCCCCTCAAATTCGTTTTCATCAACTTTCTGTTTTTGATGGCTTCCTCCACTGCTTAAGCCTTTGTTTAATTCCTTTCCACAAGTTGGAAGCTGAGCTGGATGGGGTCTTGACCCGAAGTCACCATCTTCTTTTGGCCACTTAGCACCTTCCTTTAAAGGAAAGATAAAAAGCTTTTATCTCTTTAAGTACCACACGTAGCTCCATTGCACTTCCTGATGGTCCTTTCCTCCTCAGACTGATTTTGTATTTTTCCTAGGTCAGCTTATGAGAGTGACCACTGATAACCACATGACAGAGTCAGCACTAGGCTGTCTTGAAATTTCTGCCAATGCCATTAATCCAAAACTCTCTAATTTAGCCTCAGATAGATTTTTTTTTTGGTAAGCGCATAAAGCAGCCACTTTTCTTTCGTCTTTTCCTTCCTTCCTTTCTTTCTTTCTTTTTTCTTTTCTTTCTTTTTCTTTTTCTTTTTCTTTTTTTTGCCAAAATGCCACAAGAATGGTCTCCAGGCCATTTACTAATGTCTTCAACTGGGCCTCCACAGCTCAAATCGCCCTCAGCACTGTCTTCATGCTCCTATAAGTAATGGCCTTGTAAGCCCTGCTTAAAGCATTCAACTGCTTTCCTAATCCAAAGTTCCATTCCATCACCAAACAGGCTTGTGAGGACTGTCTCAGCCACACTCCACTCCCTGTACCAACTTCTGTCTTAGTGTTGTAGTTGTCTGAAGAGATGCCATGACCATGGCAACTCATAAAGCATTCAACTGGGGCTGGCTTACCGGTTCAGAGGTTAGTCCATTTCCATCATGGCAAGAAACACAGTAGCACAGCCAGACATGGTACTCTGAAGTTCTACATTAGCTCCACAGGTAGCAGGAAGAGAGAGACACTGGGCCTGATCTAGGCTCCTAAAATCCCAAAGCCCACCCCTAATGGTACACTTCCTCCAACAAGGCCACACCTTCTAATCCTTCCAAACTAATGCCACCCCCTAAGCATTCAAATATATGAACCTGTGGGGCCAATCTTATTCAAACCACCAGACACCTCTAACCAAACTATTGGTGAGGTCTTTGTATTCTCACAGGATTAAAAAGCTTGCTGACTCAGTCTTCCCAAATGAGGGAGCAAGTCCACAAGGAAAAGGGTTCACAGAGCCGGGACAGGAACCACGGCAGCCTCCTCATTTACTGACAGACATCCCTGCTCTGCCTTCCTTATCCTTTCCAGCTGGCTCCTGTGTGCTGTGAGTTAGAGCCAGGGTGAGCTTTCCTGCAGCTACATAGGATTCACAATGCTGCTGGCTAACCCTGTCTTCCCTCTAGGCCCTGGGGGTTGGCAGAGCCTGTATCTCATAGGACTTGGCTGGGCAGAGAGGCAAGTAGCTAGAGGAGTGCTCACTGCAGGGAGTGGCAGTAACTACTGGCCTGCTCTGACCTGTTCTGGGCAGCCAATGGCCCAAATTTGATACTGGGGATTGAGGTCCTGACTTCCTAAGACCCAGGGCTGAGGCAGTACAGAGTCAGTACAATGTAAGACAGGGGATGGGGCTTGAAGGCAGAAGCTTTGTCATCAACTGGTGTCGGCAGAGGGTCTTGGCATCAACATGTTCCTCTTTCCTTGAACCACAGATCGCTCCAGCAGAAGGTCCGGATGTCAGTGAGAGGATGGTCATCATCACCGGGCCCCCTGAAGCCCAATTCAAGGTTAGCACCAAGGACCATGTTAGCCTGCAGGCTCTGGAGGTTGCTGGAAAATGGGAGTAGCAAGGGGTGGGACCAGCTGACGACTGCTGTGGTAGTGGTTGGTGCAGGGCCAGTCCTAGGGCCTCATATATAAAGGGACCAAGCTCTTGTCCACTGAACCACACTCCTAGACCCCTTCCAAATCTCACTAGGTTGCTCAGGTTGGTCTTGGCCTTGCTTTTTTTTTTTTTTTTTTAACTTTGCAATTATTTTCCTCAGCCTCCTGAGAAACTGGGATTACAGGCTGGTGCCACTAATTGGATAGAACCAGAGCGTTACATATAGTGATGATGGTCTCATAGCACTGACTGCTGCCAACATGCATGCCGAAGTGATGACTATACTAGCACATACAGGGCCATGAGTTTGATTCCCAGCACCACAGAAGGAAACTAAAGGTGGCAGATTCAGACTCGTCAAATCCTGTCACCACCGAACTCACGGCCTTCAGTGACCAGAGAACTGAGCACGCAGTGGAGAGGGAGTTACAAAAGTCTTAGACCAGTGCAACAACAGACACTCATAGGCACTGGGAACATGGAAACAAGAATGTAGTCGTGGTGGCTCACCAGTCTGTCCAACCTGGACACACATACTCACTAGAGGAGGCAGTCACAAGCCAGGAAGCTCGGCAGCCCGTGTGCAGATTGCAGAGTGGGGTTGTTCAGTGGGCACCCCCTGGCTCTGAGGAAACTGAGGCAGGTGTGCTTGGAGGGAGGACAGCATCCATCACTGGGCTCCTCGCTCCCTCCTAGCACTGTCAAATCGGTGTGGACAGCTGCCGGCCCAGTCACCAGCTTTTTCTCAGGGACGGGTCTTGTTTGCAGGCTCAGGGACGGATCTTTGGGAAACTGAAAGAAGAAAACTTCTTTAATCCCAAAGAAGAGGTGAAGCTGGAGGCCCACATCCGAGTTCCCTCGTCGACAGCTGGCCGGGTGATTGGCAAAGGCGGTAAAACCGTGAGTTGGCTCCTGACTCCCTTCCCTGCCATGGCCATGCCTGATTTCCCTCAGAGCCTCGCTGTCTCTTCTGCTCACCCTCAGCATATGCGAGGGCCTTAGGCTGGCAGGCTTGCGTTCTCCTGACGCGTGCTCATGGGTGAACCATGAGGAGTCCAAGGACAGAAAGGTTATCACTCTGGCACTAAGGGCCTAGGTCCCTGGTGTCAAGCCCAGAACAGAAACCACCCTGTTCCTTAACGCTGTACCACCCAGCCCTGTTTGATATCCCAAAGACAAGAAGGCCATCTTCTGACATACATACACAGTCACATACATGCTCATATACGTACACTCACATACACACTCACTCACACAGATGCACTCTCACAATACACCACACACACACTCATATACATAGATTCACATACACACACACACACACAGATGCACTCTCACACACACCATACACACTCATATACATAGACTCACATATACACGCACACACACACACACACACACACACACACACACACACACACACAGAGCAGGTAGAACCCAAAGTATCTGCTGGCCATTTGACACCACTCTACCACCTGGTTTGCAAGTCCAGGCTGCAACTCTGACCTCCGGTCTCTCTTGATGGCAGTCTCACAGATAGCTCACTCTCCCTACCGTACATCCCATTCTCTGGTTCTTTCACAAATCTGGATGTCTGCTATAGGGGAGTTGGCTCAGCAAAGGGTGAGAAAAATTTACTTCTAAAGTAATTTATGTTTTTGGTCTGAAGGTGTAACACATGTCACCTGAATTCCAGAGATGGAGGTATAATCAGTGACAGGACATGAACTTATCAAGTATGGGACCCTGGGATCAATGGCCAGACCCTCAGAGATTCAGATATTAATCCCAGACATCAATAGGGTATCTGTGAGGCGCGAGTATGTTCTGGAAGATGGCTTTCTCAGTAGATGAGTAGGTGACTGACTGGTCAAGTCTCTGTAGAACTAGGTGCATGATGGTGAAGTGACATTGTTGGGTAGCAGGAACTGCAGTGTCCCAGGGAGCTTAGAGTCTAGATGTAGCGAGTCGTGTGCCTGGACTGCAGGCCGTCTACAAGTGCAATCCAAATCCTGAATACGCATAACTGAGTGCCCTGTGCAGCTGAAGCCTGAGCCTCTAATAGTCACTGAATTCTCTGCGTCCCCGGCTGTGTTGGCTGCCCCATCATGTCAAGGATCAGGGACGGACCTCTGTGTGTTCGTAATCCCAGCCCTCTGGAAATGGAGCATGAAGGATCAGAAGTGGACGGTCATCCTCACCTGTGTAGCAAGTTCAAGGCCAGCCTTGTCTCAGAAGAAAGAGGGGGGAGGGGAGAGGAGGGGAGGGGGAATGAGAGAGGCAAGGAGAAGTTGGTGGTTTATTCTGTGTCAGACAAGAAACCACATAGCTCATGGCTAGAAACCAGGAAGCAGATTCAGATGGGAGCTGTTACTGGGATACCCAGGAGTGTGCAGAATTAGAGCATTTGGCTTAGAAGTGGCCCCATGGAGTCAGGACTACACTCTGTTTTTCTGTCAATCAGCCTTTTGGAACTTGAGCCTCCTTTACTCCCCTTATACTAAGCCCCTCCCCCTGTATCCCTAGCCCCTCCTCCACAGCCCAAGTATAGGCTTTGGTGGGGGCTGGGGGCTCGCCTTGCTCACTGCCTTCTCCGCCTTCCCAGGTGAATGAGCTGCAGAACTTGACAAGTGCAGAAGTTATCGTGCCTCGTGACCAAACGCCAGATGAGAATGAGGAAGTGATCGTCAGAATTATCGGGCATTTTTTTGCTAGCCAGGTACTACTATTCTGTGAGGACTCTGCCTCCTGCCCAGCTCTTCCCACTAGTTCAGTTTTTGTATTTGTGTCACGTCACAACATGCTTGCGCTCGCTCCTCCCCGCTCACTGTGGAACCCCTCCCAGGCCCCCTGACCTCAGGTACCGAGAACTGTTGGTTCAAGGCTTTTGGCTTGTTTAGGTTGGGAGTGTAGCATCCCTAACCCCACTCAGCCCCCCACCCCCAGGCTTCCTCTGAGAGCCTCATGTCTGTCAGGCAAGCCCCCAGCAGAGCAGCCAGATGCTAGGTTTCACTGTAGAAGGCTAAAACTCAGGAAGAGCCCCTAGTTTTCCATTGCTCTCTTCCCTGCCTCCCCAGAGCACATACAGCACTGTATGCCCTTTGCCAGAGAGGCCAGCACTGCAAGTGTCTTGATGGTTTTGTTGAGTGAGTTTTGGAAGAGAGCAATTGTGAATCTCGAAGAGCTCTTCTCATGCTTGTAGGCGACTTGCGCAGCTGTTCTCTGAACTAACCCCTGCAGTTGCTGCCTGGGTCAGTCTCAGAGTTCAGCCTATGGGGAGCTGGGGCGCACAGCCAAGCTCCAGATGTTCATTCCAGATGCCTGGGCTCTAGCCTCTCCCTCCTTTTCTGATGTTTCTAGTGCTTTGGAACGGTGAGTGGGGCCATAGCCAAGCTCAGCTGTGAACAGCAGGGCCTTCGGCCTCTTCCCCCATCACTGGCCCCTGCTGCTGCTTCCTGGCCAGTCGGCTTACTGTGAACTCTAGGCAGCTAGTTCCTACCCCTCCCACTCCTGTAAACTCCCTGACCCCTACCTTGTACCTGGCAGGCTTGGGGGGAGGTGGAGAGGAATTCTGCCATTGACTGCCAGGCCTGGGGGAGGCGAAATTGGCCTGAGCATCCAACTTTACCTTTCCAAAGTCCTAAACCCTCTGTTTCCTATGGGGCCTCAGAACTGGGATTGTGTCTTCCCTGTGCCCTCCCCTCCCTTCTCTCCACTGCAGACTGCACAACGCAAGATCAGGGAAATTGTACAGCAGGTGAAGCAACAGGAACAGAAATACCCTCAGGGAGTCGCCCCACAGCGCAGCAAGTGAGGCTCCCACAGACACCAGCAAACAACAGATGAATGTAGCCCTCCCAACACCTGACAGACGAGACCAAACAGCCAGCAGATCGGGAGCAAACCAAAGACCATCCCAAGGAGTGAGCAGTCTGCAGAGCAGCCAGGGCCTGCAGACCCCTACACATCCTGGGATCCAGGAGGGCACAGGGAAGGCCAGGTTCTCCAGAAACACCGCTTGGCCTACCCCCAGCTTCCCCTGGCTTCTGCAGGCGTAGCAGCCATCCACTGCCCATCCAACTCAGATTTCTCCTCCGCTCCCAGGACGGCATCCCTTTCAGCTGAACTAACATAGGTGAACATGCTCAAAGCAAAGCAAAATTCCTAGCCGTTTCTTTGTTGTGGAAAGTTGTCTCTGTACATGTATGTACAAATCAGAAGGGGAAGGATGTTAAGAAATGTGGCCTGTGGGTTACACAGGGCGCCGGCAACATTAATATATTTTAGAAATAATATATCAAATAACTCAACTAACTCCAATTTTTACTCAGTGATTAATTTTGTTTTCTTTTTGAAGAGAAAGCAGGCTTTTTTAGACTTCAAAGACTAAGGTCTTAGGTGAGGTCCATTGGTATAGAAAGGAACTTTGAGCCACCCACACAAAATTCACTTGGAGGGAACTCTCTCTTGTCAAGGACACTTAATGGCAGTTGTGGGTCACCTGTGTCTGTCAACAGAAGGGATACCGTCCCTGAGGAGGGGCCCTAGGCCCTGTCACCTGTTTATCCCATACACCCATTTCTCGGCTTCACAGGTTTTAAACTGGTTTTTTTTTTTTTTTTTTACTTTTTTTTCATATTGCTATATATTTCTGTCTATCTCCCTCCCCTTCCTTCCTCCGTTCTCTACCCAAAATTCTTTTGAATCCCTTCCTTTTTCTGCTCCCCATATCTATCCACCCCTCCCCCACCCCAGGCAAAGCAGTGCTCTGAATACCATACCACACACAAGGAACAAACGCGAACCACACAGACCAGCCTCACCTCACACTTGGTTACTCAGGCGAACAAGAGTCGGCGCTACTTGTCCTAGCATTTGGAAGAGGAAAGCAGGAACCCAGCAAACAAACCAGCCAACCAGACACAGAAAAACTCCACAAAGAAAGAATGTACTTTCCTTTTACATCTTGGTATATAAGCCATCAACACTTAGTGAAATTATTTCTTTCTTTAAAAATTTAAAGCGCAGGAAAATAGCAATTTATACAAACGAGGTTGTTGGCCCAGGGCGTTAAATTTACATTTTTTTTTTTTTAATGAGAAAAACACACAAATAAAGCTACCTCAGGTGTTTTTTACCTCAGCACCTTGCTCTTGTGTTTCCCTTAGAGATTTTGTAAAACTGATAGTTGGAGCATTTTTTATTTTTTTAATAAAAATGAGTTGAAAAAAAAAAAAGATGAACTGCCAGCCCAGAGCAGGCGACAGCCCAGGTGTGCAACAGCACTTCTGTCTTCCGCTAGCCCAGAGCCTACGTGGCCTTCTTGTGGACAAACCTAAAATGTTTATTTTTTAAAAAACGACAAAGAAAAACAGAGACTATTGGAGCCGTCCTGAATTTCAATAGGGTACGTGCCGTGAGGACTTTTGTGCTGAAGGATGACCACGTCCTGGTTATGTGGAGAAACCATGACACTACCAGACTGCGATGCCGGTTTCCTCTACTGCAAACAGTGTTCTGTGACAAAAAGAAAAAAAAAAAAGAAAAAAATATATCCAAGCTAACAAGATCCTGTTGTCTTAGTGTTTTATTTTCTGAGCTTTGGGGCTCCCAGAATGTCAGTTGAAGGTTTGGGGAAGTATAGCAGGTGGTCAGTCGGGGCTGGACAGCTCCTTGGCTACCTGGGAAAGAAACAGAGAGCCAGCGAGCCTGTGTGCAGGCAGCCCATGCAGCCTCACCTAAAACATCCGATCCTCTGGAATGGCGGTATTTCAGCCCTGGGGGTGACTGAGGTGCCGAGCCATAGAACTAGAGGGCAGACTGCATGGCAAATTGAGCCTCAGCCTCAGTGGCTCTCAATCCTCATAACGCTGTGACCCTTTAGTATGGTTTCTCATAGAACTCTTGCTACTTCATAACTAATTTTGTTAGTGTTGTGAATTGTAATGGAAATATCTGTCTTGTCACTTTAGGTGACCCCTATGAGCCTTGAAAGGGTTTGACCACCCAAAGGGGTCTCGGCCAACAGATTGAGAGCCACTGAGTTAGCCACATTCCTTCTAATTGTCCCTCTTTAAATAGCAGTACAAACAAAAGCCTTAAAATACATAAAACAAACTTAACAACTATTGTGTTACAAGCTGAGCAGAGCTGAAAAACCTGCTGGGTGTGTAGCTCCGTGATAGGCCCTATTCAATACACAGCAAAGGAGGTGCATCCGGTGCCAGGCTGTCTGCCTTGCTAAGACCACTGTTGGAAGATATGGCTAGTTGCCATCTCCAAGAGGGGCTCCCCATCCCCCACATAGGAAGGCATGCAGATATAGAGGTGGGTACCATAGTGGAGCTGACGTAGCTGGCAGGAATGGAAATTGGAAGAAAGTGGGATTTGCTTTGCTTTTTTTGTTTTGTAAGCTAAGATCCTTGTGTGTAACCCTGGCTGATGTGGTATTGAATGTGCAATATACTGCCTAGAAACTCACAGCAATATTGGCTTAGCCTCCCAAGTGTGGGCAGTCACCACTACGGCTGGTAGGGACAGATGTTAAAGGACGACACTTGACACCATGAAGCTACTACCTCAGTGTTGCACTGCTTAGGACACACTGGTCCTTGAGAGAATATTCTCATAAGCCACCATTATTGAGGCCTTTTAGCATACATCTCACACAGACTATACAGATGCATATTATATATGTGTGTGTATGTATACACACGTGTGTTATTTGTGTGTGTGTGCACGCCAGTATAACCATTCAAAAACACAGATTTAGCCAGGCCTAGTGAAACAGGCCTGTAATCCCAGACCCTTGGAAACTGAGGCAGAAGAATCTCATTCAAGACCTGCCTGGGTCATCTAGTGAGACTCTTGCCTCAAAATGAAAAATAAAGCCAGCAATCACCTGTATCTATAGGCCCCAGGGTTAACTCACTTCTGAAAAAGTAAAAAAATAATAATAATAATAATAATAATAAGGATGTAGATTTTGAATTTTTTTGATAAGATTTATAATGGGTTATGATCCCTTCCCTCAAAAAATTATGAAACAAAAATTCAGAAGTAAAATTAATTCAGTTTCAGGTGTTTTTATTCCACTAGGTTCCAGAAGGAAGTCAAGTTTTTTACAAATGGTCATCAAGGTTTTTACAAATGACTAAGTGCGTTAATAGTTTCATGCACACTGATTGCTCTCCCCTCCATCCCCTTTGCTCCTCCCACCCTTGTCTGCTCCACACCTTCCCTACAAATCTTTCTCACCTTCTCACCTATTCACTTTGTTCTGTATGACCGTGGCTTTAAGGCTATCTGTTGTAGCCCGGTGAGCTCAGCAGTGTATATATAACTGAAGACAATGGGGTAAGAGTCCTGTGAGTCCATCCCCACCCAGGACGGAAGGGCCAGCCTTGTGAACGCCTGGGACGGGCAGCCTTGTGAACGCCTGGGACGGGCAGCCCCGGCCCTGGGTGCTTGTGCTTGTAATGGTTGTACCTACAGCACGTATGTCCACATCCACTGCCACTCTGTTCACAGTAATAAGAAATGTCCAAGCCGGGCGGCGGTGGCCACGCCTTTAATCCCAGCACTTGGGAGGCAGAGGCAGGCGGATTTCTGAGTTTGAGGCCAGCCTGGTCTACAGAGTGAGTACCTGGACAGCCAGGGCTACACAGAAAAACCCTGTCTCGAAAAAACAACAAAAAAAAAAAATCTAAAAAAAAAAAAAGAAAAACAAAACTATAAAACCTGCAGCTGAATGAACGGTACTGGAAAAAAATTGTATTGAGTGAGGTGACACAGTCCCAGAGAGACACATCCTGTGTTCTCTCTCACATGCATGTATGTCCTAGCTTTGACTCTTGTTTACTTGTAGAAGAAAGAAAAATACGGAGTAGAACTTAGAGGTCAGAGGGATGGTGCCTTAAGGGGTAAGAAATAGTAGAACACAGGTGCCAGGAAAACAAGGGAGTGTCCGGTGCTGAAAGGAATACGCAAGGAGTTCACGGGGAGACACAAATGAGGGGTTAAGGGGTGAGTGATAAAACAAGCCATGTGAAAACTTACTATCTCGTAATCCAATTAAAAGATGCGAAGACAGTTTTTAAGTAAGACACCCTGCGTGGGTAATGCCACTGCTCCTAGCAGGGGTCACTAAACAAACTCTGGTGGTAGGTGTGGAACACTGTCCTGGGATTGGTAAACCTGTGGAGAATAGGGACACAACCATAATTTTTGAGCCAAATTTGAAGCAGGATTTATTATTAAATACTGGCCAGGACCATGGACACTGGCAAGGTCCATACCTGGGATTCCCAGAGTATGTTGCTAAGTTACATTAGTCAGGCTTATGAAGGAAAAAGCACAAAGCTAAGTATTTGCCACCTTCGTCCAATCAGGGGCAAGCGTCCATCCTGATGTACTTTCTGTCTATGTACCCACTGTCCCTGTGTGATCAAGCACATCCTGTGTAGTTAGGGCAATCAAACCTGTCTACAGAAGTGAAAACATATGACTTGTTACTTTACATTGACAACAACCCCCACCCCCCAGCATTCTGGGTTTTTATCTGTCCTTGGGGAAGTAGGGCTTACAGGTTAGGGGCATTTTTGTTTTATACATCTCTTTTTTCTTTCTTTCTTTCTTTCTTTTTTTTTTTGGGGGGGGGGGAGTGAGGGTTTCAAGACTGGGTTTCTCTGTGTAGCCCTGGCTGTCCTGGAACTCAGAAATCCGCCTGTCTCTGCCTCCCAAGTGCTGGGACTAAAGGCGTGCGCCACCACCGCCCGGCTTATAAATCTCTTAAACACAGTAATTTAAACTTAAAACACAGCTTTAACCATCACAGGATCTAGTCAGGGAGGCCTCAGAGACCTCTAAAGCAATACTGGCTCTTGTCAGTCATCTTGGTTGTTCACCAGAACTAGAGAATAAAGCCTCTTATGGAAGACACCACATCTTGGTTGCAATCTGCAAAGCAAGCAAGAACCGAGCTGGAAGCAGTCTCCTTGTTGGCTAATTTTCAAAGTGTCATAAGATGTGACACAGGCAGCTGGGCAAGAAAAGGCACCAATGGTCTGACACAGTTGAAGGATCAAAACCAACCTGGCAGGTAAGATGTGCCCACCTGTGGCACAAGTGTTATAGGGACAACCAAGGACTCCATATTGGATTTGAGGGAGGCCAATCCTAAAAGAGGGAGCCCACGGCTGATACTGTAAGCTGGTCAAGACTCATGCATAGGCCCAAGGAGATAACTTTTTTTTTTTTGGTTTGGTTTTTCGAGACAGGGTTTCTCTGTGTAGCCCTGGCTGTCCTGGAACTCACTCTGTAGACCAGGCTAGCCTCGAACTCTCGAACTCAGAAATCTGCCTGCCTCTGCCTCCCAAGTGCTGGGATTAAAGGCAGGAGATAACTTATTACTGAAGAATTTTATATCTAAAATCTATTTCATATGTCAAAGCCTTAAAAAAGTTTTCGTTCGAAAGGATTCAGCCACTAGTATTCTCAGGCTACAAATGATGGCACGCCTCTGTAGTCTCAGCTTTCAGGAGGCCCAGGGTGGAAGATAATGACCAAGGTCAAGCTGGACTGCACAGTGAGACCTGTCTCAAAGGTGTTGTAGAAATTATTTTCATTCCTGACCTGGGGCTTCTACCCTGCCTTGATCATTGAGTTCCTGGATCAAAAACACATTCAGCCTTTTATTTACAATATGCCTTAATCAGTACAAAAGCTAGGCGGACACCTAGCTTCCGTGCTATCAGAATCTACTTTCCTATTGATAATCCTGAATTATTACTTAACTATATTTCATCTGGGCTGCTCTTAACTCCAGCTGGCCAGTCCTCAGGGCCACATTTTTCTAACTCACCTAACCCATGGTGGCTTTTTCTTCTCTCCTGCACCTTCTTCTTCTATCCCAAGCTCAGGAAACCTAAATCCCACCTATGTCTCTTCTGCCCAGCTATTGGCTGTTGGCATCTTTATTTGCCAATCAGAAATAACTTGGAACAGGGTCACAGGTCTACATACAGACTCCAGGTCATGGGGTCTTGCACTTAGCATTACAATAGACAGTAAAAGACAAAACCTCAACACAAAATATAGAAAAGGATCAGATAGCAACTTTGTTGGGGTCCAGGAGTTGTCCCACAAACCACATGAACTCTGATCTCAGTCAGACAGGGATAGTTTATTGAGTATATGCCCCAAAATTGATTGATTGGGGATGTAGGTCAGACTCAGGAGCTGACAGAGACACTGAGTTAAGATCTTACAGAGCGTATCAGCCTAAAATCCACAAACATCTGCGAAGAGTTATTTCACCAATCGGGACTTAGGGATAGGGATTTCCTTAGGAACATGTCTTTGTTGTACATTTATCCTGTTTCCACTGGTTGGGGGTATTCAACTGTGGCAGGGGACTTGCCTTGTCTAACATTCATGCCTTAACCAGGATGTCAGCTACCTACCTACATGTCTGGTTTTGCCAAGAAGGATGTCAGTTCCCAGGGAAGTTTTGGGAACTTAAATTTTACTTGACCCCTAGTCAAAAAGTAAGTCCTATTCTAAATAGGT